GCCATTTTGTCATGGTCACGTGACCTACCTGTGTCAGTTGCGTCGCCTCACTTCCATTCATGATTTCTCTCACAGGGCATCATGGGATAGCGTAGCGTGCATGGGATTGGGTGCATGCGCACTTCAGAATCTCGCCGGAAGTGGTAAGTCATCCGGGTACTCCTTGCCTACTGATTTTCGAATTCTATGAATTCGGACATACTACTCGGCTCGCATACTGATTTTAGCGTACTGTATAGTATGGAAGTATGCGGTTTCGGACGCAGCCCAGAGTGATGAAAATTATGATATGGGGAGGGTTAGGAGGCCATGATGGACAGAGGCCAGAGGGCAAATTTGGCCAATTTGGGATTTTTAACGACCACAGAGTTTCAAGACCTCAGTTTAACGTCTCATGCGAAAGACAGCACTCACTGAGCAGTATCCGCTTGTTAAGTGTGATATTACACAAAGTGGCTTTCAAGTCCAAGCACTCTGTAAAACTGTATGGGGAAACTCATCAAATGGTAATAATAAATATTTACAAAGCAAAGCAATGTAATTATTTCGAAAATCATGATCTTAAAAAAAAAAAAAATATATATATATATATATATATATATATATATATATATATATATATATATATATATATATTAGTGCTGTCAATTGATTAAAAAAAATCGCGATTAATCACATTCAAAGACTGAAACTTGTAATTTTTGCTATTCAAATGTAAAATTAATGTAAACGCAAGACAAAAAAACTATTTAAATTCAAAATATTCATATTCAACTGTTCATTAGAATTATTGAATTATTGTTTAACTTGTAACACAGATTTCTTCATGTAAAGAAAAGCCATCAATTAATTCAATTGTTTTATAACCACACTTCATTAAAAAAGTCTGTAGAAACATTCTCCCTTCGTACATGTCATCTATGGGGGAAAACCCTACCCACCAATGACGATCGCTTTAAATTTAAAGCAACAGTCACCAAAATGGCATAATTAGGATTAAAGCCTAAAAGGGGCAGTTTCAAAGACTTATAAAACATTACTTATGGGGTATTATGAGCTGAAACGTCACAAACACTATGGGGACATCAGAGACTTATTTTATATTTTGTAAAAATGGGCATAATAGGTCCCCTTTAATATTTGCCTCTACTCTAACAATTTGTACAACCCCTAGTTTTAAAATATATTTTAATAAAGAATAATTCATATATATTTAATACATTAATACATGCATTATTAATAAATGACTAATATAATACATGCTAAATGACTACTATAATGATTTTTCCACCAATATGGAGTACCAATATTGGTCCCACCGATTGGAATTTAAAAGAAGAGACAGTTTACTAGTCATTAAAAATCATTTATATAAATTAAATCAACAATACAATGCTAAAAAAAACTTTTTTTTTAGGTTTAATTATTTACACACTATTTTCGACCAAGCCCCCTGCAGCGCAAGACCACGCATCTTCCACTGCATAAAACACATGACAGCCTGCGAGTTTCTTAAGTGACTTTCGTCTGACCCAAACCATGTGACACTGGAAAGGCAAAACAGATTCACTGAACTGAAGTAAGACTCAAAACTATCCAATCAGACCATTTCTATTGTGAAGTGACCTGACAAAAAGTGAACACACCTAAGGACAACACAAAGCAACAGAAAAGACTTCTCATTTCTATTTACATCTCACTATAAATTGCTTCCTGTTAACACACTTATATATGTCTATATAAGACACTTATATATGTGTATAAATGTCTGCTTTTAAACACTTGTGCTAACCGCGTCCCCAGTTCACACCAGATCGGATTTCTCAAAGTTCATTTACCTTCACTTTCAGCCCTGCACACCTCCACCATGTGCTCCATTTGTAAGTGTACGTGCGTCTGGTCACTTATCAACAGTACGATTAATCCTTAACCTGTCTGACCTTCAACCTCCACACTAGATCCATTTAAAAAGGGCATTCAAGTCAAATAGCATATTTACAGCATTCTCTTTATCAAACATAATTATATATATATAAAAATAGAGAAAAACTCACCCGTCTGAAATCTCCTCTCAGGACTCTTCTGTCTGCCTGTGAATATGAAAAGAGAAAAGAAAGGCAGCGAAAGGCATTGTCTGGGCCGAGACTGAGCTCACATGTACTTTGGTCGTTGTGCTGCACTTGTTGTGTGGTAAGCATGAGTAAAGAAACAGTAGCGGGGAAACACACCTCCCTGTTACTAAGAAGAAAAAAAAACTGAGTCACACAGAAGACATAGTAGTAGTAATGATAGCTGCTTCTTTTTTCTGTGAGTGTTGGAAAAGCAAGACCTAATATTAAAGTATTGTGCCATAAAATATAGCCATCATATAATTATTTGATTTCAAAGTAACTGATGAAAGTATGCGAGCTCCTGTGTTTTTTTATTTCCATGCACAGACTGTAGATGGGTCATAATAGTTAAATATTAGCAGCGTGTGAATTCCTACATTGCATCTAGGGTTATGAGATTATGCTTGTCAATGACAATTTGGAAAACAGCTCTATACACAGTTGAAGTCAGAATCATTCGCCCCACTGTTTTTTTCCCCAATTTCTGTTTAACGTAGAGAAGTTTTTTTTTTTTAACACATTCCTAAACATAATAGTTCAAATAACTCATCTTTAATAACTGATTTATTTTATCTTTTTCATGATGACAGTAAATAATATTTGACTGGATATTTTTCAAGACACTTCTACACAGCTTAAAGTTACATTTAAAGGCTGAACTAGGTTAATTAGGTTAACTAGGCATGTTAGGGTAATTATGCGAGTTATTGTATAATGATGGTTTGTTCTGTAGACTATCGAAACCAATATATAGCCTAAAAGGGCTAATAATTTTGTCCTTAAAATGGTGTTTAAAAAATTTAAAACTGCTTTTATTGTAGCCGAAATAAAACAAATAAGACTTTCTCCAGAAGAAAAAATATTATCAGACATACTGTGAAACTTTCCATGCTCTGTTAAACATAATTTGGGAAATATTTAAAAAAGAAAAAAATTCAAAGGGGAGGGCTAATAATTCTGACTTTAACTGTATTTCACTTAAAAACTAAAAATTCTGTCGTAATTTAGTCATCTTCCAGTTGTCCCAAATAGTTTCATTCTTCAGTTGAACACATAAGATGATGTTTAGTAAAATGTTAAAAACGTAACCATTGACTGCAAGGTGAACTACACCTTTAAATGTGATTTAATTAAGAAAATAAGGAACGTTTAGCTATTGGTTTTGAACGTGTTTTTTTTTTTTTTTCATTCAATATGTGTTCATAAGGAACCTTTTATTTTAATGAAAATGTATTTAAAAATAACACAACATTTTCACAGAGGAAAAAATACTATTTCAGGACATGAAGGACATGTGTATCTGCTGCCCCCTATTGGACAATCATAGAGAAAAAAAAATCATTTACAAGAATATTTTGACCCACAAAAAACAAATTACTTCTGCAAAATATATGCATTTTTTGTAAAAAAAAAATCAGTTTTTCTAATTACCCTACTGGTCAAAAGTTAGGGGTCAAGGTTTTTTTTGTCTTGTATTTTTTTTATTTTATTTTTTTTTTTAAGAAAAATATTTTTTTTTCAAGGCGACATGTATTAAATGTAAAGAAATTGTTAAATTATTAAATATTTGTTAAAATTTCAAATAACTGCTTTCTTATTGTATGTAGTTTCGAATTAAATGATTACTCCAGGCATTTTTGCTTTTATTATTTGTTATTATTTTAACAATATTAATAATAATATTAATAACAATAGTAACAATAATAATAATAATAATAATAATAATAATAATAGAGTGATTTCTGAAGGATCGTGTAACTCTGAAGACTGGAGTAATGAAGCTGAAAATTCATCTTTAAAATCCCTGAAATAAATTATTAAATAATAAACTACTTTTGAATGGTTATTTTATAATGCAATAACATTTCACAATTTTACAATTTGTACTTAAAACATTTAAAAATCCTTCTGACCTCAAACATTTGACCAGTAGTGTGTTTTTTTTTGATAGAACAAAGTCAAAAAGGTTTGAGGGAGATTACATTTTTTCGGTTTTGTGAAAACCATCTTATGAAATGGTTTAACATATATAATTTATGAAGGCATATTTTAAAATACTATTATCTATTGCAAAAAAAAAAGATTTTCCTAAAAATTTACCAAGATTTACAGAAGACTAAAATGTGATTTTTTTTGGTAACACATTTATTTATTTATTTATTTTGTAATAATTTAACTGTTTAAATTAAAACATCTAAAAACATTTTGCTGGGCACATTTATAGTAAAGAATTAGGGCTGAACGATACTAAAAAAATCTGCGATATTTCGTTTTTCTGCAATATATATTGCGAAGTGAATACAACTTTAACATATGACTTGAATAGCTCTATTTGGTAATAATTAATTTATCATTAATCATAAATTTGGATCGATTGCTGTGATTTTGTAGGGGTGAAAACCATGTATAAAAAATAAACAAATTGCAAGCAAAATAATTCCAATAGAGCAATGAAAAAAGTCAAATAAACAGTGCTTTGTGGTTTTCTGGAGAGTGAAAGAGTATTCAGGCACAAAAACTGTATAGGCCTCATTGTATTAATTCAGTAAAAATATTCTTGATTAAAGTTAGAAATGTACTTTTTTGTGCCTGAATGCACAAGTCAGAATTATTCGCCCCCTTTGATTTATTTATTTATTTATTTTTAAATATTTCCCAAATTATGTTTAACAGGGCAAGGACATTTTCACAGTATGTTTGATAATATTATTTCTTCATATTAAAGATTATTTCCTCATATTGAAGATTCGTTCAAAATGACCGAATCGTTCATGAACAAGCCATCACTACCATTAAAACAGACCGGTCAATTTTGTACGGGAACACTAAAGCAAGGGGCAAGATGTGAACACGACAGGAGGGTTAATAAAGTTAAATGCCACAGTCTCATTTTTGTACTGTATTCAATATTTATTAATTAAAACATTTTTAAAAACAAAACTATATTAATAACTAAATCCTGAGATCAATTGCATTCTAATACGCATAAAAAGTCCTAAAAGTAAAAAAGAATCCTAAAAAACATAAAACAAAATTAAAATCAGTTTATGTACAGTCCATAGTGCTTATGCTCCACAACTCAGATGTAAATGTCAGAATTAAGAGGTCTCGTCTGAGGACCTCTGGGTTCTTCTCTTTGTTCAGCTTCGAAGTGATCACGCTCCTTAAGAAAACGATCGACATCCCGGATTGTTTTGGCAGTAAAAACAGCACCAACGGCATACAGAATTGCGGTTATGATTCCAAACAGTGCTACAGATGCGTCCCCCCCATTCACACTACAATTCATCCAGGTATATCCGTTACGAGCGTACAGTCGTTCGCGCATAATGCACACGTCGGTTGAGTTCACAGAGATCACAAGGTGCAGGTACAAACCCACCGCAATCACGTAAGCCACTGCACCAATGATCTGGAATGCAAACTGTCCAATCAGGAGCTTCCGTGGAAGCACGTGAGCGGGTTTGCCACTGGAAACTACGAATAGGAGCGAAAGAGCACCGAAAGTGAGGCTGAAGGCCACGCCTCCATAGACTCCAGGTGCTCTCATTTGTCCGTACTGCATGTCAAGATTACGCACCGTCTGCAGCTCCGTCCCCTCGAAAGGAATGATAGCATCAATGAAGCTTGTTCCACCCATTCCCATCGCAGACATGCCCAGCTGTGACATGTGGGCAGCCACTATGCAGATGAGCACCAAGGCATTGGTCAGGATGGTGCAAATCAACACAATACCTAAAACACACACAGAAATGCATATGAAACTTTAAGCATGTTTTAAACATATATCAATAAAACTTGGTGGATTTTTTAGGATAAATTCTTGTGCAATTGCTCTGTTAGTGAAGTTCATCAACCACAAGACATCTAAACCAACCAAAAACAGAGCATATTGTCAAAAGATGCCTCAAAGTGAGCTGAATTCTCAAATGTATCTGGTTTTGTAGCCAGTTGCAACGCTTCATTGTTTTAGATCAGGGGTGGAAACCCTGTTCCTGGAGTGCCACCTTCCTGCAGATTACAGTTGCAACCCATATCAAACACACCTGCCTGTAATTATCACGTGGTGTTCAGGTCGTAATTAATTGGTTCAGGTGTGTTTGATATGGGTAGCAACTGAAATCTTCAGGAGTGCCGAAGCAAAGGCGCAGTAGGTAGTGCTGTCACCTCACAGCAAGAAGGCTCAGGTGGCGTTTCTGTGTGGAGTTTGCATGTTCTCCCTGTGTTCACGTGGGTTTCATCCAGGTGCTCCGGTTTCCCCCACGGTCCAAAGACATGCAGTACAGGTGAATTGGGTAGGCTAAATTGTCCGTAGTGTATGAGTGTGTGAATGTGTGTGTGTGTGTCTGAGAATGTTTCCCTGAGATGGGTTGCGGCTGGAAAGGCATCCGCTGGATAAAAACTTGCTGGATGAGTTGGCGGTTCATTCCGCTGTGGCGACCCTGGATTAATGAAGGGAATGAGCTGACAAGAAAATGAATGAATGGAATCTGCAGGAAGGTGGCTTTCCAGGAACAGGGTTGACCACCCCTGTTTTAGATCTTCAGCAAGTTATGCTGCAAAACATACTTTATGAGTTTTTTTTTTTCTAATAAAATTATTTTGCAATAATCAATTGCAGAAGAGCCAAATGAATGTATCTTTTTAGGCCCTAACTAGGCCCACAAGAAAACTGCGCGTGCAAAATTCCGCAGATTTTTAGCCCATCATTAATTTTGTTTATTTACTTGAGTAAATGTGTGTAAATCTTCATTTATTCAGTTTTTAAATTAATTTCTGTAATATTACTGATTAATGTTTATCTGATTTCTTTACAATGCAGTTTGTAAAGTATTATTTTCTGTCTTTTAGTAGATATATAATAGGAGACTTGCTTTGTTTACCAAATAAAGTGAATCTAATTGAATTTGTATTTTAAACATTAAGGGCCCTATCATACACCCGGCGCAATGTGGCGCAAGGCGCGGCGCAATAGTCTTTTGATAGTTTCAGCTTGCCGCAAGAGTGGTTTTGAGACATTGCGCTACGCTGTTTAAAAGGCAAATGCATTAGCGCTCATATGTGCGCCCATAGGCGTTCTGGTCTAAAAAGGAAGGCGTTCTGAGGCGGACCGCTGGCGCGTTGCCATTTTGAGAAACTATAATAGATTTTTCATTAGACCAAAACAAACCCGGTCTAAACTCCGGCGCAGAGTTGCGCCTCTCTTACACACTGCTTAATACACACAAGAGAGCAATAGGCAAATATCTTTACATATGAAAAAAATTAAATATTAAGGATATATATATAGGATATAATAAGAATAGATATAGAATATAACTATAAAGGATTAAAATATTACAAAACATATTTTCTAGCCTACATAAATATGAAAAATCACTGCTTTTATGTCTTCTTCATCTCAGGAGGATTTTTCAGTTCATTTATAACAATTTGCTTTTGTATAATGTTATTATTATTAGCAGTATTATTTATTATATCCATATTTATATTTGTTTTATTGAAAACAAGCTTAGATTTGTCCACCTGTCAGGTTTTAGACCATATGGGGCACAGCATGTGTTTTAGGATATAACTTAGGTTTTTGAGCACACTTCGTTATTATTGTTCATTTATTCGTTTGCTGAAAAATTAGAACTGAATTTAGAAATAGTTTTGAAACGAAAATTTGCACTTAACAAACCCAATTAATTATTTATAGACTAATTGATGTATGTGCATAAAGGTTTCCCTATCCAAGAGCGAAAGTGAAAGTAGATCTATTATCTCTAATTCTCAGCAGTAGATGCTCTGTTTAACAGTTTTCTGTTAAAAAAAAAACTGTTAACTGTTTGCTAGTGAAATGCTCTTTTTTTCCACTTAGACTTACTTTGCGTCCTGTAAATAGCGAATGTGCTTATGGCGCGACGCAGCTGGCTCTTAAAGGGAATGGGAGATGAGACTCTAATTGCTTTATTCTCAAAACACACCTATAACTTATTAAGAAAATTAACTCAACCCTTTTAGACCATGCGCCACGGCGCAAAGCAGATTTTCCTGTCCTTAAATTAGCTAAAATGCGTTCAGCATTTGCGCCCTGCGTTTTGCGCTCTGCGCATGGACCGTCAAAATAGAGTCCTAAAAGTTGATGAAGCTTGCCCTGAACGCTTGAGGTTTTTAAGAAACTTCTTTGGTGCACCAATCTTGTCAATGCTATGATTCAAAAAGGTAATGATTCGTACTCATCAAGTAATTGCTTCATACAGTTTTTATTTTTTCTTCTTACATTCTTCGGTTGATTTAAAGACACAAATGTTTCAGCATAATGCCTTTCTCAGTGTGAACATTAAACAGCGTAAACAGTAAACATTAAAATTTAAAAAGATATATTTACCAGAAAATATATTCAAAAATGCTAATTTTTAATTGTAAAAAAATCTGAAACAATCAAAGACAGCAGAAGTCAATGATTCATGTTTACTGTTCCAAAATATTATAAATGTTTCTTAAAATAAAATATGCTGTGTTCAAGGGTTAAAAAACTTTGTTGTTTTACCCAGACAATTCAAAAGAATATATTTTAGAGCCATGAGAATCTTATACCGGCCCATGCCTAGAAACCATATAAATAAATGCGTTTATTTATTTCAGATTCTGTGATTAAAGGCAATGATCTACCTGCAGCTCAGGTGCTGATACTGAAACTCATTCTTTTCTTACAGACAAGATATACTGACGATAAGACAAACACCAGCAAAAAAAAAAAGTGATCGCTCAAAAAAAAAATTCTGGGTCATTTTAACTCCCCAAAAAGTTACAGACTACAGATTTTAAAATGGTAAAAAAAATGTTTGGTTTCTCTACCAGAAATAAAAATATACTGACTTGTAAATGAAATATTTGTATCAACAAGCTTTAAAAACGCTAAACTGGTTAGACCAGAAGAGAGGAGGAAGGGGGTGAATACATTGTGTCAGGTGGGAAGGTGTGGCTTTTGGTTGAGTGAAACCAGAGCAGTGTTATGGCATGCTTAAAATAAAAACAATTGCAGATATGAAAATAAATTTTTTTTAGAATTGTAGAACTGAGGTTCAAGTTAAATACTTCAAACATGTTTCAAACACTCTGATGCAGTTGTTTGAATACATAATTGAAACATGCATACTTCTACATTTGTCTTTTAGTCCAACATATCATTGTTATGTCCATCAGTGAACGCTTACCTCTCCTAGAACAGATGTAAGTGCACTTGGACTCCATGTGCTCCCTTTGAGAAGTGCTCCTCGCAGGTCTCTGAGACCCTCTGGTTTGGTATGAGGACTGGCCAGATGATCTGGTTCTGATATATTTATAAATACACGATTTAATTGATTAGTAATGCAAAAACAGGCACAACATATGCAAAACATATTTAATTTCCTCATCTTTCCTGTTTGTTTATTTTTTCCTCCACAGTTAAATTTGTAAATTTGCTGTTAGTTTGTGCAAGTATGTCGTCTCACCTTTCATTGCCTGGTCGTCGGTCACTAGGACGGTCCTGTTGACTGCGGGGGTCTCTGTCTCTCTTTTCACCATTTTGTCTTCTCTCTTCACCATTTCTCTCTCTGTGTGTACGCTGGTTTCTGGGTGGCTGGCTCATTGCTTCATGAAAGAAAGATACTTTAGTGTATGTTTGCAGAGGTTTACAAATTTTATAAAAAAAAAAAAAAAAAAAAAGACTTAAGACAACTCCATCGTAAAAATTTAATTTATTAATAACAATACAAACAAACACAGACAGACAGACAGACAGATATATTAGACAGACAGACAGACAGACAGATAGATAGATAGATAGATAGATAGATAGATAGATAGATAGATAGATAGATAGATAGATAGATAGATAGATAGATAGATAACATGTTAGATAGATAGATAGATAGATAGATAGATAGATAGATAGATAGATAGATAGATAGATAGATAGATAGATAGATAGATAGATAGATAGATAGATAGTTTGTTTGTTTGTATAGCCTATAAATTTGATTGTGTACAAACCATTGGATATACTTATATACACAGTAAAATATCCACATTATTATTGATTGCAATAAGTTAACGTAACTGTCTTAAAATACGAAAACAATTTCCAAACCGCAACCGTTAATTGTTTTAGTTTACGTACTGTAACCTGTGGTTGAGTATCGGTGAATGAGTTTCACTCACTCTTGTATCTCGTTTCAGCTGACTTCAGTAAAAACAACAATAAACTCGTTTTATTTGGAGTAAATGACCAAATAATGTTTCTAAACGACAACAACGTCAAAAACAGACAACTTACTTGTTTATAAAGGTCGCTGCTCACATTTGTTTTGGTTTTCCTAATCAAAACTCCACTTTTTTTCCGCCGACATGAGATTTTGACCAACCCTGTCAGTGAAATCTCGCGATGATTACCTGGGGTTTGAAGACAGGTGAAAAATACAAGTATCAGACGCGGCAGTCCCTAAACGAACTGTCAAACTTTGTTATCTGTGTGATCGCCTATTCACAGTTTGAACGACCCAATACGCGATAACAGAAGCAAAGGTCAGGACAGACTGAGAGCACGGACTGTCTCCTCAACAAAAGTGGCTCTGTCTTCGATCAAAACATACGCAAGTGCGAGGGAAGAGCATTGTTTTTGATTCACTCAAACGAATCGATTCTTTTGAACCAGCTCACTAAAGGATTCAATCACTGATTTGTTGACGAGAGAATCAACAGAACCAGACCGTTTTATATTGAATACAAAATATGTTGAGAACAAAAGTAGCATAAACAGTCAATATACAGTACAATGAATACTGGAATAGGATAGTATTTAGCACAACAAATATTTTATTTAATTCTAAATGTAAACAAATCTTTTGAAATAAATAATACATCAAGGTAACAAATAAAACTATTAATTATATGATAAAATATAATCCTTTTTAATTGTTTGTAAAGAAAAACAAGCATTATAATGTAATACAATTAGTTATAATTAAATATAAAGATCAGGTCATATCATCATTTGGTCAACCCATGGATTATTTTTGTAAGGTGAAACTGAAATAATAATAATAATAATAATAATAATAATAATAATAATAATTCAGTAAGTAATGTAAGCTAATTCATATGTTTGTTTCTAAAAAGTTGTCATCAAATTTTATTTTCAAAGTCAAGATAAATATAAATCAAGACAGTCCCCATACCAATGTCAACAAAACCAAACTTTTCCAAACTTTCCAAAGTTCCAAACTTTTTTCCACTCAATCTGCTCAAATAAGGAAATATAAAATGGTTTACATTTTGGCAACAATGTGGTTCTGCATAACATTTTTGATGTAAAAGTGATTAAATTTATTGTCTATAATTTTCAAACCATTGGTAGGGGAGTGCGAGGCACAAAGTAACGCGAGGTTAAATGTAACACAGAGATTTAAGGTATACTTGCTCAGGGTTAACCATGGCATGCCTGCGAGGTTTTCACCACAGTGTCGGCAGATGTCTTCTTGCCAATTATTGAAAAAGTTCGGCGAAATTTGGATGAGAAACACAGGAGAAACCATTTTTGCAACCTAAAATAATTTTTTATTATAGTCAATATTTTTTAAATATATTGTTGTGTCGACCATCTTCTAGGCTAAAATATGAAACCATTTTGAAAGATGTAAAACACAAAGTGACTGCTAGCCAGTTTTGAAGAAAACACGACACAGCAAGGTTAGTTAGTTAGTGTTACAATTAAGCCACACACTGTTGGACACCAATTAAACTAACACAATATATATATATAATTTGGAGTGTAATGTTGAGAACTATTTAAATGAAATGAAATTATTTTTTTTTTGATAGACAAAAAATATTTTACTGCTAATAATACAAATAAATGCATTGTATAATCCAAATGTGTTTATCCAATAAATAAATAAATATACTGTGCTATTCATTCATTTTCTTGTCTGCTTAGTTCCTTTATTAATCCAGGGTCGCCACAGCGGAGTGAACCGCCAAATTATCCAGCAAGTTTTTACGCAGTGGATGCCCTTCCAGCCGCAACCCATCTCTGGAAAACATACTGTGCTGTGTAGAATAAAAAATAAATTGAGCTAGGTACTGAGAAAATATAGCTACTATTTAAAGTAAACTTTAAAATTTTAAATAAACTGTGTGTAATCTGCCTTTTTTTAAGCATGTGTTACAACTAACCCTGTCTGTTACAACTTGAAGTGAGGTAAATAGTAACATTTTTAATCCTGGCACTTTTGGCAACACTGCAAAGAAACAATAGTCCGGCGATCATACAACCAGAGCTCATTTGTAGGAGAGGCTTGTGTTTTGTTAGTAAAAAAACAAATGGTTTGTTTAACCCCAAGCCTTTGTTTATTATTTGACCAAAGCCAAAAAGAGTTACTTTGTGCCCCGCTCCCTTACTTAACTGATTAGTATGTAAAATATTGGATTCAGACAGAGGATATATTACCAGATAAGAGCTGAACAAGCAGTTTTTCTCCAGCTTGAGGAACTACATATAGAAAGGGGCGTAATCGTTCCGCAGGTCCAACCAATGAAACACGCCTTCACAGCGCGCGCTCAAATCCTATTTGCTGAATGGTAAAGTCAGTCACCGAAGAGGAACGCCTTCAGACACTTCAGGAGTTTGTTTGCAGAGAACCGAACAAAGGAAGATTCGCTTAAAACGTGAGTGAATCTTTTACGAAACCATATGAGCCGTAACCTGAGGCTTCGTCCTGGAATGTCGTAACAAACGAAAATGAAGTAATTTATGTGCGGATTATGCAACTACAGTATGTGTGAGTGTCAACATTATCAAGCAGCTCTGAGTAAAATAACTGAACAGCACTGTAAGAGCTTCAATTACAGTATAAAAGAATGGAATGATACAAAGGGGGTCTTGACATTTAAAGAGCGCATTCATTGTCCTTTTGACTCGAGCATTTTAAGAAGCTTTCAGGAGAAACTTTTTGCTAATAGAGTCCAGCTACCATTACACAAATAAAACATGGTTACTTGTAAAAAAAACAAAAACAAACAAACAAGATAATTACGAATTATTCATGATTTTGCTACACTAACCACAGTTTAACCATTGCATTTACAGAAAAACCGTATATATATATATATATATTTATATATATATTTATATATTTATATATATATATATATATATATATATATATATATATATATATATATATATATATATATATATATTATAAATACACATGGTTATCTGTTATATTTTTTACCATAATGAAAGCATGGTTCGAAATAGGGGTAGCTCTATTCAAATCAGTTGGATAATCACATGCTCAAGTTAATGAGCCTAATTAACATAATTGATTGTCAGGCCTGTTGCACCAGCTTGGTTTGGTTGCTTCATGTTTGTGCATTTGATTTTTGTTGAACTGTGAATGTGATTTTAAAATATTGTAATGCACATGCTGATGCGCGTGTAGGAGAAATGGATACTGGGTTAGAGGACCTCGAGCTGAGAGAGTCACAGAGGGAATATCTGGACTTTCTGGATGATGATGTGAATAATTTGAATAATCTTTATGTGTTTGACTTGTGGGCATTTTGAACTGTATAAACTTTGTTTTTTGTCTGTCAAACTAAATCTTTTTTTATTGTAATTTACAGCAAGATCAGGGCATCTACCATGAAAAGGTCAGGAGTATGGTGTCTGATGGACAGTGTCGTCTCATTGTCAACATTAATGATCTGAGAAGAAAAAGTGAAAAAAGAGCTAAAGAGTAAGTGATTAATTTGATTAAAAGTTGTCTATTTTGTTTCATATTTTGCTTTTTTGACAATTTTAGATTTTTTCTTTAACGTTGTTTGCTCTTCGGGATTCGGTCAGTAACAAACATGTGGCCAGATACATGTGAAACTCTGGTGTAAACAGCATGGTTGATGTACTATATGTTGCTCTGCTGTCTAAAATATACAAAAAAAAAAAAAAAAACATGGAAGCTGCTAAATCACTTACTAAAGCAGAATATGGTGTAGCATTTTGATTTAACATGTGGTAAAGGATACATTTGACCAGATTAGCCTAATGTTACACTCGCTTGAGCATAAATTATAAGAACAAACATGAACGTTATCAAGATTCTTGCCATGGAAATCGTGAATTAGTTTGGTCAACCACAAACACTTTTTTCAGACAGCTTTTTTTTCTCTCTTCTGCTTGACTTTACATGGCTTTCAGTATTCTAATACAATCTAATAGCAAAGCCCAAAACAATTGATCATTTTCAGCAGTAGTAAGCAAATAATATGATTCTCAGTCAGTTCAGTCATATTGTTTACGTTCTGTGTTTCCAATATGGCTGACTGATGATGTGTGATGAAAATTCTCTGTAGGGGAGAGTGGGGACAGTTGCAACACTTTTTGCAATTCTTTCAGTTTCTCGAAGACAATTTTTTTTTTTTTTTGTGGAACCCCAAAATTTTAAAACAATAAACTCACTTCTGTTGGACAGGCACCCATATTGCTATAATATGTGTAGATATGTTAATAAATTCTTCATTTATTACTTAAAGAAAGGGACAATTGCAACATTCATTCAAATTATAATTTAAAAAAAATCTAAAACCTCGAGTTGGATTTTATTTTTTGGTAAACCCACTAAATGAAAATTGGTTAAATTATTAAATGTGTTGGCCATATAAATACAAAACCTTAAAAAAAAAAAAAAAAAAAAAAAACGAGCAACATCCAATTATAAGGCCTAAAAAAACTGAACTTTTTTTTTTTTTTTTTTTTTTTTTACTGAAAGATTGAACCTTTACCAAACTACTACTAAGAATGTTGACATGAATTAATTAATCAAATATTTTTTTCAAATTATATTAAAACTGTGATCAATAAAATTGTACATTTGTTAATATGGCAAGCTTTCAAATGAATTTTATAACAATTGGGGACAGTTACAGAAGCATGTTCAGCAACTCTGTCAACCTTGATTAAACATTCCATGCTAGAGAGATACAATAGCTTGTTACAAACGCTTGATAGCTATACCTATTTAAAGCTATGAAAACAGTGATTTAAATTATACAAATGAATAATGTTTCACAAAAACAGATTGGGCTGTATGAGAAATTTTCTGATCATTACAAAAAACTATTTTTTTTTATTTTTTTTTTTTTTAATACCTAAAATGAGTTTTAGACTGAAGAAATGGTCACATATGGCTGATTTCTCTTGGATGGAAGAAGGATCCAACTGACAATTTGTAGTATGAATATCATCCCTCCATAGCTCATTCCTTAGTGGAGAAATAAGTCTTGTTGTAACTGCCCCATGTTGCCCCCATTCTCCCATACACTGTAAAAAATGCTGGATTTCACACAATCAATTTGTGTTAAAACATCTCGAAGAAAATAAGTTAACCTATTAGTTTTTACAAATTGATATTGATTTAACATAAAACTGTTAGGTTTCCCCCAAAAAAGCTTGAATTGTGTTGTTTCAGCTTATTTTAAATAAGTAGTGGAAGCGGCAAATGTAATTTTTTGAGTGTATATCCTTGAATCTTTATTGATCTGATTAAGTGTCTCTTTTTAATAGATTACTGAAGAATGCTTTCGCTGAGCTGGTGGCGTTTCAGAAAGCCCTGAAGG